AAATTAACCCAGTGGCGTAGCGTGCATTGGCGGGGCCCCGTATAAAAAATTGTTTGGGGGCCCTTATATTCTTTGGGGGTAAAGATTTTTCACAAAAGAAAAAAAATATTGTGAAAAGAAATATTTATTTATCATAACATAATTTAACCATTTTACAAATAAAAATCAAATTTTAAACATTCATTCTCCTTGCCTTTTTTTCGGCAAACTGATTTATTAAATCATTTATGGCTGATGATGATTTTAGTTTTTCTAAAGTTTCTACCTCTATGGACAATAGTGAGAGGTCTGACAGCCGTTCTTGTCCCATCGAAGTTCTTAAGTAATTTTTTATCAGTTTTAATTTTGAAAAACTTCTTTCAGCAGTTGCGGTTGTAACTGGAAGGGTCAAGAATAAAAAGCATGCTGTGATTACCTCGGGAAAACTAGATGCAAGACTATTGAATTTTACTAGCAATAATTCAATGAGTTCTTTAATGGAATAAATTTTTTGAATTTCAGATTTTAAACATGTTTTTAGAGCCTTTAATTGGTCACAAAGATTAACTGAGATGTCTTTACTGTATTTAACGGACAGTTTTCCGGAAGCGATTATATCTCTTCGTTTGAAGAAGATAGGAGTTTCTCCGGTTGTAATATTTCGAACATACTACTCAGATCGCAAAGGCTCTGAAATCTTTCTTTAGTTTGAGAAATTAATATATCTAAACAGCAATAGTATACATTGACTTTGAAATAGGATTCCGGGTCGGAAATTCTCTCATCTTGTGATAACTCATCAAAAAAACGCTTCGTTATCTTTCGCCTACTGTTTTTAAAAACAGTTGTTACCCCCCACTCTTTTGCTAAATCTTTGGACTCATTTAGCAAACTATTAAATGAAATCTGATTTCTTAATTGGCACAGTCTATTTAAAAGATTACTTAATAAAATACTAGATTTCTGTAAGTCATTATTTTCATGCTGTAGAGCTTTAGAAATAGGATTAATAATTTCAAATAGTGAAGAAAAAAATGTAACGAGCACTAAGAAATCATAACTCTCTAAAATATTAATTATATTTTTACATTCTTCACGTTCATCTTTTTTATTTGAAATTAAATTTAGTTGGTACAAAGTTTTCATGATTAGTAAAAAATTTTTCTTTACCGCTAATAAAGCGTCGTTCCTAGAAGACCATCTGGTTGGACATACCTTTTTAAGGGTAATCAAATATTTTTCAGACGGATCGTCACTTAGCATAGCCCAGCGTTTTATACTATTGCCAAAAAAAGTATATACTTTTTCTAAATTATCGAAAAAAGTCGATATTTCACGAACGTGTCTCGCAGCATCGTTTAAAACTAAGTTTAAAGCGTGCGCAGCACAATGAACATAATCGGCATTTGGAGCATGCTCTTTTATTAGGGTTTGTAATCTTCCATAAATACCCGACATAACATTTGCTCCATCGTAACCCTGTCCTCTACATTTAGTCAAATCAATTCCATATTCTTTAGTCAAATTTAAAAAGGCAGTTTTCAGACCTGCAGCACTGCAATCGGTTACTGCTATAAATCCTAAAAAGGACTCACAGATTTTTATTTCTTTAGGCACATTATCATCATTTTCTGTAACCGAGATATATCGTAAAACTACAGAAAGTTGGTCAATTTTTGACAAGTCTTGTGTTGTATCCAGAATTATTGTCAGAAATGGAGCTTTTTTAATTTCTGAGATAATATTGTTCCTAACGGTGGTACCAAGCAAACTAATAATTTCGTTTTGAATCGTAGGGCTTAAATAATTTATTTCGCCTTTCGGTTTTAGAAGAAGTTCTTTTAAAGTTGCATCATAGTTAGATAGCAAACGTAAAATTGCCATAAAATTTCCAGAATCAGAATCATGCCCTCTCAAAGATAGATTACAAGATGCTAAAGTAATTATAACATTAATTATACGATGCAGTACATCTCTCCAGAATGTAATTCTACTATTGATTTCACTTTGCAATAGAGTATCGATGGTATTTCCTTGCAACCAATTATTATAAGAGAGTGAGGCATTCATATGCTGCTGTGACTTTTCATGGTCAAGTATAGTTTGCGTAAAATTGCTTCTAACCGAAACACCGTTAACCTAAGCAGAGGAGTACGATTTGTTTTGACGATCTGCTAATAACCAACAGAAGTGACAGTACGGTTTGTTTAAAACGTTAGAATAACATAACCATGGTCTTACAAGTTTTATGCCTGCCTGATTGAAATATGAATAATAATAGGCCGAAAAAGGTCGGTTACTTTCTGAATCTTTTGGAAATGGTCCTTGTGGTTTAAATGGACCCAATTTAAAAATTATTTTTCGTTCGCATTCAGATAAATTGTCACCAAAATTTCCTCTATCTGATGAAATTATATTACAATCTTCAAATATATCAGAATCGTTGACTTGGTGTTCTTCAATTTCTGGATGGACATCCGATGAAGTATGTGCTTGGCTTTCTTCTATTTCCGAATGGATATTTGACGAAGAACGTGCTTCAGAAGAATCTAAAAATAAACGAGTATTTGTTAAAAAATAAATACGAATGCTTTGATACTAAACTAAAAAGAGTTATATATAAATAAATAACTTTACTAAGGGTCACAGTTAGAGAGTGTTCAGTTCAGACGCACACAGACTCTACGCGGATTGTGCTCGTATTAGTAGATACAAAATCACCTGCAGCCCGTCCGTGCGTTACATTACACCTGCGTGCTATTTGAACGCAGCGCGTAGTGTAGTGGCCATACAAAACGAGAACAACCCGAAAGCGAGTCTGCACATCTGAAGTTCTCAACACGCAATTTACGATACGATACAGACTGATAGACAAACAACAAAACAAATTGATCTTATAGATAAGTTAGAGTTTTGGTTTTTTTTTGTTTCGAGGCACGGAACCCTAAAAACAAAATTCACCCTTCGCTACAGGTAAATAATAAACCAACCACGCGTATCTAACCACGCAGATCCACATTAGCGTCGTGTAAAATAGTACTTGTGTAAATTAGTAAGTACTTCGGTTTTTCGAAGAAGTAATTTTACAAATTGTCATTTATTTTTAAACCTTATCCGTTTTAAGATTTTTGCCAAACCAATTTCATGTAAAAGTTTAATTAGTAAGGAGTCTCCAATATCTTTTTTAGATTTTTGGACCAGTAGTTGTGAAAATCGAAGGGGGGGAGACCACTTTTTGTGACGGACAGATTGACAGGCCGAAATTAAAAGATTTCCTTGTTTATCACTACGGACCCCGAATAAATGGGTTGGGTAGTACTTACCTTTCCAATCTAAATCACTCACAGTATCTTGTCTATGAAAAAATGAAGAAATTTTGGGCACTTTTTTTATAACCTCTTCCCTTTTCCGTTTACTTTTTCTTTTCTCAGCACCGCTGGGATAATCTCTTTTCCTTTCACTCATTTCTTTTACAAATCGCTACTAATATTGTTAAACCACCAGAACAATATTGTTTGTACTGAATTACAATGTAATGCACAATTACATAAAACGCGTAAATAAACACTGCACTGCACTCCGTGGTTTAACATCCAATATAGAGTATGTACGTACACGTTCGCGATATCGATTTTATTACTGAGGGATTCCCCGCTGAGTTGCAGATGAAGTAAGTAAAACGGGGAAGTCCCACAGCCCGCCATAACGATGTACAGTGTTGCCAACTTTTGAACGCACGCTTAAGGCGGTATAAAAAGTAATTGCTTTATAGAATTTTGTCATTTGTAAAATAAAATAAATTAGGAAGTTTTTATTTCTTTTTCCTTACACACTTTGGGGGCCCCCGTGGCCCGGGGGCCCCGTATAATTGATACGGCAGATACGGCGGTAGCTACGCCCCTGAATTAACCCTAATTTTGTGTAATTATAAATTTGGAATTTCCACATTAATAACTAGAAACTTACACTTTGATTGCAGTCTATAATGAACTTACCTGTCTTGCCAAAAAGCCCGTTAAACTGCCAGTCTTAATGGTATCAATCGATTTATATGCTGTATTCCGAGGAGCTTGAATCATCAGAATTGTTGGTGTCAATTATAAGGGGTTCAACTTGGGTGTCAATGACATTGTCCATATCCCACATTTTGGTTTCAACCTTCTCTTGGACATGGTCAATACATGTTCTCCATTTTGCTGGCGTAATTCTATCGACAGCAACATCAAACAGTTTTTTAAGGTCAGAAAACTTAAAAGTGCTGTTATTTGACGCCACGTATTGCTTGATGTCGGCCCAAATCAACTCGATAGGATTCAGTTCGCAGTGATAGGGAGGCAGTCTGAGAATCGTTTTATTTTGGTTTTTGGCCATTTCGTCAACAATTTTTAAATCATATTTATACTTATGTCGCTTGACTATATTTATCAGCTCAGCTTTGACCATTGTTTGGTCGAAGTCGATCTTCTTTGAGACAAGCCACTGTTGAATGTCTGCCTTTTTGGTGGCCATTGTTGGAATTTTTTCCAATTTTCTGTAGTGGTACGGGGCATTATCCATCACAATAATTGCGTTATCATCAAGTGTCGGCAAAATTTTTTTGAACCAATTTTCAAATGAGTTACCATCCATTTCTTCGTGATAGTCTCCAGTTTTTTTGGATTCAAATGCCCACAATGCTTCAGGAACAAATCCATCTACGCTACCTATGTGGAAAATGATCAGGCGTTTTCCCTTGCCTGAAAGTAATTAGTTATTTTACTTCTCAGCGAGCGCACTAAATGACGAAATTAAGCAACTTACTCTTTTTAGGTTAGTGTAGGATAGGGTCTTAGATTAGTTTTTGGGTGAAGTAAATACTCAGAAACTTGGATGAGATAGCAAAACTGAGTTCGGAGCTTCCAAATCATTGATTCGATCAGAAAATGAAATATCTGCATCCAAAAAAGTTCATATACTTCGAAACTTACCTGCAGGATTTTTCAATCCCGTCGAAAGGCCATCTAAAAAAGCCTGCCTTGAAGACCTCACAGATCTGTCTACCCAAACCTTTTCCTGCGTATGCCCCGCGTTCACCCATATTTCGTCTAAATAATAAATTTTTCTTCCTTCAGCGCGGAATTGCCTAATTTTTCTAAGGTATTCTCTCCTCCAGATAACAATTTCCTCCTTTTCTATCAATAAACTATTCCTTCCTCTTTTCAAAAATCGAAAGTCTAGTTCTTTCAACAGCTTATGGAACGTAGATCTTTTAAAATTTGGCAGGTCCTCATCATCATTCACTTGCTTCAATATTTTATCTATTGTAGGTATTTCATTCCTGAAGAAAAAGTGATGTACTTTTCTTCTAATGGCACTTTTGTCAAAGTCATCTATTTTTTCGATGATTTTTTTTCTCGCTGGATATGTTTTTGGCTCAGATAGTGAGTGATTTTGTCTATATTCCTTCAAGATTTTGTAAACACTAGATCGACCTACTCCAGAAATTTCAGCAACCTTACATACGATATTTTCTATAGCCAATCCACTGTTCTCTTGCATCTGGTTCTTGTAGATATTTAGAATAATTTGTTTTTCACCTGCGCTAAGATGAAGCTTTTTAGCCCTTTTGCTGGGTTGCGTTAAGCTGATTTCAACCACTTCATCAGCTGTATCTGTGTCAGACATTTTAGACTAATATTAAATTTCCGCAAGAAAAATCAAGTCAAGACGTGCATAAAACGTTCGCGCTCATAAACGGGTATCCGTAACTGATTACAATCCTGTGCGTGGTGACGAACCATCAACGTGACGCTGAGAGTTCCCTCTACTATGCAGCGTTGCCAGGCTTAATGTCACAATGATCATGTTTTATTGGGAAAATTGTCAGAAATCGCCGAATGTTGAACAGAAACATTACAAGAAGTCTAACCTTGAAATGTGAGGCTACAAATCGATATTCTTATAGGGGGGAAGGGTAGGGAGCTGTTATGGTTCCTATTAACCTTGGTGAAAGTTGGAAACGGTAATATCATATATGGCATACATTCGGTTGAAGGTGTGTGCACGGAAAATAGATTGCGGATAGGATTTTAATAGATAAATCTGCACAAAAAAACACAAAAGGAGATTTTTGTATTTCCCTGAAGAATATCTCAAGGTTTTTTTGAGATGTACTCATCGAAACTTTATAGAAGGATTATCGAAACCTTATTTTCAATTGCGATAGGGCCACATACCTCGACATCGCATTAATGTGAAAAATAAGACAATAGAAAAAAATTCCCTCACTGATGCTATCTCTTAGGAAAAATTTAACTGTAAAGATTGCACAAAAATTTTCTTCACCTTTTTGAGCTTGTTTTCGCATCTCTGTATATGCCGTTCATAATTTGCTGCAGATCAAATTGGAATATACCTTTGTGATGCCATTTATTGTTATATAATGTCCTTTACAACAGTTATTGCACGTATTGCACCAACAGATTGATTTGTGATCCATGCGAATGTGATCAACCACTCTGGCGAAAACTCGCCGAGCGTGGCAACCGTGCGACTTTGTCTGGAGGCTCGTCGCTACAAGCCAATCAGGAAGAGGCCGATAGAGCGCCATGGCTACCGATCACGCGTTGATCACGAATCAACCACTGTTTACGATTACTTTGTAGCTTCATTAGATACACTTTAGTATATAAGGGTGTATTCCTATTTAAAATAAGTACGAGATATTTCCTTATCTTTCTTCAAGAAATAACTTTTTTGCCACAAAAAAACCAATAGCTATTTTCAACAATAAAATGATAAACAAACCATGGGCGTAGTGAAGAAAAGCATTTACTTATTAAGTAAATTCTTTTAGTCAAATTTCTTCTGAAAGTAGTACAAACTAATCTGATGTACCTATTAAAGTCTACTTTAAGCTTTAAATCAATAAATCTTCGGTATCTATAGTTATTATCAGCTGTAAGCTTAGTATCAGATATTTTGATGCTATCTAAATTTAATAGCTAGTTTTACTCATTTTCTCGTTTGCAATATTCCGCATGTCTTTTGTTACGCTGGTCCAGTTTCTTTTGTCAATCATGCCTTGATAATGCAATGTCTCTTATATAGGACCCTGTAGATATCGACATCGTATCCTGTAACATTTAGACAGCAACTTGACTCACTCTCCGCCGCTGAAGGATTCACTCACGGGCAGCAGGTATATTAAGGTGAAATTAAAACGTAACCCACCAGAGTGGTCCGTAAATCATAGAGGCGGTATGGTCGATGGGCGGGCGGTGAGTGGACTGGATCGAGCGGACCTCGTCTGCTCGGGAGGACCACCCGGATTAAAAGCACCGCCTGGGCCGATGCCGAAAGAGCCCTTCGAAAAATTTACTGCTCCGGATGATTTTTTAAGTAAACATTTGGCCGCCAGTCTATTAAAAATGACAGGAGCGCTGTTGGAGACCATTTAGTGGTTGACCTCCTAGACCACACTGGGGGTGCCCAGAGACTCCTGTCGTGCCAATTTTAATAGGTTTCAGGGAGGTATATTTTGAAACTGTTAAAACTGTTAAAGGTATTGAAAACAAAAAAAGATATGATCTGAAATAATTAGAAATCAACAACCAAACAAAATTCCGCCACAAAATAAGCTAAAAGTATTGCATGACCATTTTAAAAAAGGTTATACAGCAGACGCTCGATAATGTAAACTAATTTAATCCAAGTGTGGTTCACATTATCGAAATGTTTACGTTAGCGAACGTGATTTATATAATATTTGATTTATTAAAAGAAACGTTTAATACATACTATTTATAACAAAATAAAACAGCGATAAGTATTTTTTTAATTAGAAGAAAAATAATTAACAATTTTTGTCTGCGTAAATTTGCGCTTAGCATTGTCTTCCAATGCCTGCGCCCGTAATTTACGAACAACTAAAATATCCGTGTATGAAACTTCTTTTCTTTCAGCCCAATCTAAAGCTTGGTTAAAAACTTGTATAGCTTGCGCGTCAGTCACTACACTTCTGACTTCAATGGGATCGTTCTCATCATCCTCACTGTCCATATCCTCCTCCTTATCAGCATCATTCGTCTGTTTATCTTCGTTCCATAAATTAATATCAGCGGGAGTACAAACAATGTTGGGATTCACTGTTTTCAATAAATCAACAACATCCAATGACACACTAATAACATTATCATTATTGGATCGCAAACGTTCTCTAATTACGCTTAAGGGGACATTGTCTTCTTCATCATCTTCATTATTGGTACAAAAGAGATTGTTCCATTTTTGAATAGTTTGTTGGTTGAGTTCATTCCAGGCCATATGTAAATCTAAAACAGCTTCTCGTAATGTTACTTTTTTTAAAGCCGCAGATAAGTTTTCACGATTCTTTGATAAGACAGACGAAAGTAGAAACTTCCTATAGTATAGTTGGTGAGTCTTATTATATTCTGGTCCATCGGTTGAATTAACGGTGTTACGTTGGGCGGCATGTACATGACGATAATTGAGCCATCCCTGCTCCTCAGTTGTTGCTCAGGAGGATGACTTGGTGCATTATCCAAT